CATGCTCTATTTTCTTTGTTTTTCTTCTTTCTCTCCTTGTCTCTTCTTCTCAATTTCTTGAACATTGGTTTTCCATCCTAATTGAGTACTACATAGAGAGAGAGAGAGAGAGAGAGAGGGGAAGAGCGGTATGGAGGGAGAGAGGAGTTGGATACTTGATTTGTTAGAGCTTCACAGTGAGTATTTGTCCTTATTTAAGAAGGGAGAGCAGTTGATCTTAAATTTTTTCTTAAGAAAAAAAAAAAGATGTCTCCATTAAATATAGTTTGTTGTCCGTGGTTTGTCATCCGTCGGTGAAAACATCCTTTCAACCACCGGATCGGAGAAACCATTTACTATTGTTTATCATGGGAAAAAAAAGGTTATGAAAAACCCTAAAAATCCATTAGATATGAAGTGCTCCGAACACCGCCTTTGAAAACCATCAGAAACCACCTTTGAAACCCATTGTCTTTGAAATCTCTGGAACCCCGATTTGAAACCTCTCCTCTGCATCTGCAACCACCTCTGAAGCTCGCTCTGAACCCCTTCTGAGTATCGGCCTTGAAAAATCTATCTGAAATCTAATTTGAAACCCTATGTAAAACTGCCATATGATATCTTGTTTGCCGGTCGTCTTGTCTGAAGTTGGTCGGCTTCTGCAAACAATTTTCCGGCAATATATTTTTCCTGTGACCTTGTTTTTTTTGCCGAAATCAGAGGTTAAGTTATGGTTCTGGCTTAAAACATCGATTTCATGCCGTGAAACCAAATCCTCAAGCTTCCTCCATTGTTTTCTAACGTCCAGCCACCGCTGCCATCTCTGCGTCACTTTGTTTTCCCCCGTGCTCTCCTTTTTTGTTGTCTGCAATACAAAACCAAAAGTTATCCCATGTTTTGCTCTTGGTTTGCAATAGCAAAACAAAACCAAAGTTCTCAATAAAAGATAAGGTGTCTTGTCTATTTTGAACAGGACGTACACATTTAAAAGGCAAAGGGGATCGTGGGTTGGGTCTTTTGGTCCATTGTGCCCTTATGGAACATTCAGATTATTTGATCTTGTACTTAATGGTTGTAATTCTTGCTTAACAAAATGGAAAAATCATATTGTTGCTCAAGCATGTTATGTTCAAGCCGCGCTTGCTCTATTTATGGAGTTGCTTGTGCATTCCACTCTGAGCTTCAATTCTAAGATCCAATTGTGCTTGATGATCAAGCAATTTAAAATCGTGCAACTGAAGATTTGACAGCTTATTTTTACAACTTATTGTTCAAACTCCTATTGCTCTCTCTCTCAAAACATCTTGAGTTTGAGAAGTGAGTGTGAAAAGAAAGTATATATTGTTTGTCAAGTCAATATGGAAAGTATATATTATAATCAATATATATATGAGAAAGGCAGATACAATATCTTGTATTTTATAAAAGGTTTACATAGAGTAAAGTTGTCTATGATTTATTTATATTCAGGTGATATATTTTTATCTTTATAAAACAAGTTTATATATTCAATATTAATTCAATGGACATTGAGTCTCTTCAAAAAAAAACTCAATACTCTTTGCAAGTTGTTCAAGAGCCAAACTCTCAACAAGGTATTTTCACGAAAAATCACTTATTCCAATTTTTATAATATAAACAAATATGGTATTTTTTGTTATTTGATAAAATTAAGATGCTAAAATTACCAATATGACCTCCATGTGCAGGGTTCTAAATGAAAAACATGGATAATTTAGCATTTTTAACAAAAAAATTGAGGAGATACCCTAGGTCAAAAGCTTTTTCAAAAAGTGATTGCCTCTTTGATTTTTGCAAGAAAGTATGACGATTTTATTGACGTTGTAGCCGCGGACCTATGTTTTTAGGACCGGGCCAGGCTAGGTGGCTGAGCCCATTGCCAACCCTAACTGGGACAATAAGGATTGAAGAGATAGAGAGAGAATACTATGAGGGATCATGAGGATTGTAGAGAGAGATAATAGAAACAATGTTCAATACTAGTTTTTAGAAAGGCCGTAATAGAAATATTGTCCCTTTTTTTACATGAGAATGTAACAAGATAAGAAAGTGTGTATTGCATGTATCAAAATAAAAAGGAAAAATATCTCCTTACTTCCTATTTTTAACTTCTATTTCTCATCAAACCTAATGTTTAAAAATGTTACTTGTAGCATAAATCTTCATTTTTTCTATCTTGCACCCCCTATATCCCTTTTGTCATTAATTGTTGACCCACACAAATACTAAAATGATACATCTTTCAATACACACTCTCTCTCAACACTCCATTTCTCTCTAGTTCCTAAAGTTAACCCTCGTACATCGTCATTGCCTCCTCTCTCTCTCTAAAAATAAAACCACGCTCTAAAACAACCCAAAGCACATCTCTCTCTAGAATAACTCGCTCTCTCAAACCTCCATTTCTCTCTCTCTAATCCATCCATCTGGGTTTTTTTTCTGTCTAAAATCGGTCCGGCTTGGTTAGGTTTTGATCTATGTACAACCTCTACCATTCAGGTCTGCCATGAGTCAATCCGTGCTCTCTCTCTCTAACCATAGGTTCTTGCTTGTGCCCCTTGTTCAGAAACTGCTATATTTCTTTGAAAGTTCTTCAATTTTATCAATCCTACAATCGTCTCTTTGTCTACTTTCTCTTCTTTATCTGGTAATTCATTCAAATCTTTATCTTCTCTGAGGCATTAGACCATGAATGTCCATTACCGCTACCATTGGGAACATGGTTCTTCCCTGTAAAAACAAAGGACACACTCAAATAAAGTGGCATGTTCTCACTTGGACCATTGTTCATCCCTGTAAAAACAAAAAAAAGTAAAGTGCCATGTTCCATGCAAAGCAGCAATGGAATTTTTTTAAAAGAAACATTAATTCATGCATTTCAAGGAAAGAGAATAGATGTGCATGAATTTGGGGAAGCTTCTGAAATGCGTGCTGCAAAGCCATTGTTCGAGCATCGAGCTTGCACTGCTTTAGTTTAGCACTGCTTTAGTTTTGCTGACTGATGAACCTGTGCAAAACAAGAGAGAGAGGCCAAAATGATTTCGCAATGTATAAAAGATTTGTAGAAAGAGAAAGAGATGGCTCGAGTTTGAAGATGGAGAGAAGATTATGGAGGGAAAGATATAGAGAGAGAAAGAGAGAACCTTTTTCTTCTTGGGGTGGACGGTTTTGTCAGAGTTGCTGATGGGGATTGAAGCGGAAGCCATTTTTACATGCTTTGAATCCATATCCAATTACAAAAACTACAGCAACTAAATAAAAACTATTCTCTCTCCTCTCTCGTCCCTCAAAAGTAACACAGGGAACTTGAAAAAAACAAGAAATTCAAACACCCATTTACCCTTCTCTCTAAAACCTCTCCATTTCTCTCTCTAAAACATCTCTACACCAACCTCTTTCTCTCTCTAGAAATAACAGAGAGACCCTGAGAGAAAACATGAAATTTACAAACCCAATTACCCTTCAATAGGCCTTTGCAATTTCTCGCACCATTCAAAAACATCACATTATTTTTCCTTTAGAAATGTCTAGAGAGCGAGGTGGAGTAGAGAGAAAAAGATGATACAACGGTGAAAATTGTACCGCCCACACTTTGCTCCAACGGTGTAGGTCATTCGCACATTTTTTATTTAAATCTTGTTTAGCATAATAGCTTCTAACCAGATTATATCTATTGTTGAGAGAGAGGAGAAAGAGACAATGTAGAGTGGGTCCTTGCACTTTGGGTATCAGAGAGAGAAATGGATGTTTGAGAGAGAGAGAGAGTGATTCTAGAGAGAGATGTGTTTTGGGTTTTTTAGAAAGTATGATTTTTGTTTAGAGAGAGAGAGAAGAGACAGTGACGATGTAGAGAGGGTTAACTTTAGGCACTAAAGCGAGAGAAACAAAGTGTTGAGAGAGAGGGAGTGCTTTGAGAGATAGGTGTCATGTTAGTATTTGTGTGCGTCAAAAATTAATGATACAATGGGTATAGGGGATTGCAAGATAAAAAAAATGAAGATTTTATGCTACAAGTTACATTTTCAAATATTAGGTTTGATGAGAAATAGAAGTAAAAAATAAAGAGGCAAAGAGATATTTTTTCAAATAAAAAAGTATGTATTACACAATTGTATTACCATTATATATATAATGAAAGAACCACTACAAAAATAGTATGAAGCACAATTATTTTTCTTAAAAGAGTACCTCTCTCTCTAAAATTCTATAAGAAAAAGATAGAGCAAACTAAAGGATCACGAGGACTGTAGAGAGAGAAAGAGAAGCAGACTGAGGGATAAGAGAGAGAGTAATCTTGAGCGACCGAGGGGATTGTGTTTATGATTGGAGAGAGACAAGTTCCCTACACTTCGTCGTCCATTTGATTGGCCGGCTGAGTTGTTCATTTTGGCCTTGCAAGGGCGTCACGCCCTCGGTCCACACGAACTACTATGCTCCCCCCTTGATCATGTCGAATCTTCTCTCCCAATATTAACGCCCTCTCATCTTTTTGTGCACATCCCCACCCTATAAAAACCCAAGCAATACCTCTCAACAAACCCTTTCTCTCTCTATTCCAACTATTCAAGCACAACATTTCCACCCTCCCCATATTACCCATTTTCTCCCATATTTTCCAAATTTTTAGTTTGATCCATTTCTATCACTTCATGCTTTAACACACACACCACCCCCTTTCTAGTGCTCAAAATCTTGAAATTCCAACTTGGGTATTCAAAATTCTTGGATATTTTGGCCCTCTATGAACCTATGTAAATCGTCAAATTGAACTCAAACTCTATAGTTCCCTATTAGGAAAAAGTTTCAGTACTTTGAGATTAGAATTGATTTTTGAGGTATCTAGATGGCATAAATTTGATTTTTGAGGTTTCCATATTACACTATCTGGGTTGTTTTCCTTTTCACCATACAGGGTATTAGCATACGTTTCCAGTTGTTGCTCCCCTTTCAAGGGCAGGTTCTTACACGTTATTCACCAGTCCGCCGCTAGAAACATAGAAATGAATAAAGAAAGGAAACCCAATGGCATGGGAGTGGGGAGGAAGCCCTTAGCACAGGACTTGGACCAAGAGTCCCCGGGCTCCTTACTTACAAGTAAGAGCATTGTCATTGTAATGGACGCCTTGAAGGAGTTTTCAATTGACCCACTTAATTGGGGTCTGCATAATGTGATTGAAGCCGGTGATAGTGTCACTATTCTAGGTGTCATGCCATGGCTAAACCTTCCACGTAAGATCTCTCTCTATCCACCCCCGACTTCCCTAAGAAAATTCATGGCTTACGATGATAGTGGCTTTTTTTTTTTTTTAGTTCAGTGGAAATAGAGTCATTTATCTGTGGTAGGAATATAACTCAAGACATCATATTATGGCAACCCATCACCCTGACCACCTAACCTTAAGGCTAATCATGATATCGGCTTTAAAATAAATAAAAATTATTTCCTTTCATTTCTCATCTTCGATTTTTTGTTAACACTCTTGCAATTACCACAGTTTCATGTAAGACCTGGTTGGACATTTGGAGGCTAGACTTTGAGAATTGGTCAGAGTTGATAGAGAAGAGCGAGTGGAAAACCGACAATAAACACCAAAAATTAAGGGCAGTAATCAAGCTTTGTAAATTTCACAAGGTAAGTCGACAGATGATTTAAATTGCATCATTGAACAAGCTAAGTCAATAGATTATTTAAATTGCATTATTGAAGAGGGGCAACTGTAAACACCTCATATGCATGTTGAGTCAAATTGTCTACTTTTTAGTTCTTTAAAAGCTTAGAAAAATAGAATAAACAACCAATCATTATTCTAAATGCATAATTTAAATAGGCAATTTTGAATTTTACTCCATTAATAAGGATGTCTTTTGTTTGAATAGGTTGTTCCTCGAATGGAGCGGGTCATGGGGTGTCCACTCCGGTTACTTGTGGCGGAGCGCGCCAGCAGTCTTCACGCGGCGTGTGTGGTGTTTGATAGGCATGCCCTTTTTTCTTTTCTTTTTTTTTTCTTTTGTTTTTCGAGTAGTTATGTAATACGCTTTTTTTTTTTTAGTGGGTCAATGGTAGGAGGTTCTTGAAAAATTCATAGAACTAGAAGAACTATTGTGTAATTTCTATTGAGAGACACAAGAGTTGTTCAAGTGGACAAAGATTAGTGGATAAGGGAAACAAAAGAAAAAATAATAATAATAATAATAATTTATATAAGGTTGACACCTCAAATTATAGAATTAATGTACATCAACAATCGATCGAAAACGATTATTTTGACATTGAAAAATCATCTAATTGATCATCTCAACATCAAGATGTATGGATATGACAAAAAAAAAAAAAGATTTCATGTTTAAAAAATAGTACATCTTGCAACACATTATCTTGACCATCAATTTTTAAGATGTTCATGCTTTTATATATCTTTTTATTTGAACCACATTTGAAGATTAAAACTTAATAATTACATATGAAAATAGATTTTCGGGTCATCCTACAAATTTCAACACTCAAATTGAACCTTATAACAAAGGTTGTGCCTTAATTTGATTGTTTAAGGTCGAAAGATTCATGAGTTCACAATTAAACTTAAAATAATGAGGTCCACATCCAAAATAACCTGTTAAAAAATAATAGGATAAAATAAGTCAAATGAAGAGCTCAACTCCGCCGATTGCTGCTAAGAGAAAGTGGAACAGTTAGTGTGAATTATGTGGGTGTGTTTTTAGATATACATGGTAATGAGACATGCATTGCATGATGGTCTAGTTTAGTTGAATATTCAAGATATTCAATTTTAATTAATAATGTTTCATTTTTCATTTTTTTTTATTAAACGAGTTTTGCACATTTTCTCTCTCCTTCCCATACATCATTTTAGCCATTCTCCAATTAATTGGGGTCGGCTATATGAATCATCGTTCTCCATTCATAAGTGCAAGTGTCTATCTCTCTCCCCTATATTACCTTTCATCATTTTAGCCTTTCTCCAATTAATTGGGGTCGGCTATATGAATCATCGTTCTCCATTCATAAGTGCAAGTGTCTATCTCTCTCCCCTATATTACCTGCACGTCCAGCACACAAACTCCACTGACGCTACGGGTAGGAATTGAGTCGGGTTGATCCATGGACCCAATAGGTTGACCTGAACGGATATGAGTTTGGATCCTGACAATAGACCGAACAAATCGGATCAAGGTACACTCGACCTCGACCAAATTGGGTCCGGATCCGAGTCCATCTTGGATCCTATAGGTCAGGTTGGGTTAGGTCCTAGTCGAGGGTGATTTGAACAAGGAAGTGAAATGATGAACCAATTAGTTCTATTCCCCAATCAGGATCAGGGTTTGCTCAATTGAACTTCTAAGTCTTATCAATGACATACTTATAGCCACCTGATTTGAACTTTGACAGGCAAGAATGATTATGACCTTCTCATATTAAAAGTAAATGATTTCTCTGTATACTTTTGCATAAATTAAAATAGATCTGATTATTTCCCATTTTAATCTATGGCAATTCATGGGTATAGGCACATGAGGGGAGATCGGGGAGACCGAGCCTTTTATGCTAAGAAAATGCCAAGCAGCGTGCTGATGATGACTAACAATGGCGAGGCCGACATAATCAAGGTCATATCCAAGCTCAACCACTTCACCCCCGATTCGTCTCCGGCAATGCCACCACTCACAGCTGAGATCAAGATATCCCGTGAATGGTCGCAGCTCCTCAAACAGAAGAAGCGAGAAAGAGAAAGTAGAAGCTTGGAAATCATTGATGAAAGAGATGATGGTGATGAGACTGAGTAATGAACAGAGTTTCAATGGCTGAACTCTTTGTTTCAACCTCTTTTGAGGCACTTGTAGAAAGCATATTCTGAATATGAGGTGTTTTGATCCATCTTGTTAGTATCTGATAGCCATGTAGAGCCCCAAGTTTGTATTTCTTCTTTTTTTCTCTTCCTCTTTGCAATAGTTTTCTAAATAATCAGGCCATGCAGGGATGAGTCCGAGGGTTTTGGAAAACCTATGAGTTGTGTGAGTCTGATAAAGGACACAAAATGTTTTGGAAATAATTTATATTAGGTTGCAACCTTAAAATGTAGAATTAGGTTGTATCTCAAAAATCCATTGGAAAACGCAATTTTGATGTTGAACAACCTTTTAATGATCATCTCAATATCGAGATGTATGAATATGAAAAAAAATAAAAGATTTTAAATCTCAAAAATAGTGCATCTTGCAACACATTATTTGGACGGTCCATTTTTAAGATTTCCATGTGTTTATAGATCTACTTGATTTGAACTAATTTTAGAATTTAAAATTTTGTAATTGGAGATGAAAATGTATCTCATGTCATCCAAAAAAAAATTTATACCTAAATTACACCCTATGATAAAATTTGAACGGACGCCTTAACTGATTCTTTAAGCATGCAACCTTACGTTTTTCAAAATTTTATTAAATAAAGTAGGCTTCTTGAAAGCACATTTGAGTAAGATAAAGCATTAGCAAAGGGGAAAAAGTGTCTTCGTAATTGCTTTGGATCAAGAACTCGAGCAAAACAAAGCCCTGTATTTCTTAGGAAAATGTTTTGATAGGGTTGCAGTTGTTGTGGCGGAAGCTCTAAACCCGATGGGTTGATTTTTTTTGACAGATAAAGTATGAAAAAAAAAAGATGAAATACACACCACAAGAATACAATAACACAAAATATTTACGTGGTACACCCAAGAGGGCTATATCCACAGGCACAGCAAGCAGAAATCCACTGTACCAATGAAAGATACATCAAAGATTTTGGAACAAACCTCGACAAAAACCTAAGTCGAGCAAACCTTTTAAACCACTCTCTCTTCCTTCTCTGTACATCTGGCAAGCATTACTAACAACACCAGATAGAGATGCGAGAGCAATGAAAAACTTACTTTCTCTCTAACTAAAATGGGAACAACCTAAAATCTCTATGGGAACCGCTTCTCTACAATAAACAAAATAAGCTTCTCAATCTTCATGAGTCTAAAACAGGCACCATCACAATTCTTCTGTCCAAATGAAGCATTTTTCTCTCTAAGAGGAAATTTCATCTTATGCACAGGAGGTTCTAGCTCCCTCTCTCCCTAAAGGAACCACCATTCCCATATGGTGACCAAAATAGGGCATATAAAAATTCTCTGTACTTTCATTGCATTTATATAAGATTAGGAATCTATACATAATAGAAAACTTCCTATAGATGTAACATATATCTCAAAAGGCCAAGAGATATATCTAAGAGTTCTGATCCTTTTTAGATTTCTATTTTTTTTAGGAAACTTGTCAATATCAATATCAATCTCAATCCTACAAAATATGAGAATATCTCAATCCCACATAATAAGGGAAGATCTCAAACCCACATAATATAGATCAATCTCAATCAATCCTAAAAAATATGGGATTTCCTTATGTAGGTGATTTTGGATAGCACCAAATCCAACAATCTCCACGTTAATATCAAAATCACCTGCTCACTATGCCAACATCCATTTGATAGCTTAATGGATTCTTAATCTTTTACCAAATAAATCTATCCATCATTCTTGCTGAAAAATAGTGTTTGCCATCAAGTTTTTCCACCTCGAACTTTGCATTTGAAACATTTATTGCTTTTGGCACCTCGATGTCGGCTCTACGCCACTTGGGGCGGTAGGATATCAGGTTCTAATATCATTTGTACTCTGACACCACTTGTTGTGCTCTGGTACCACTTGTGTGCGGAAGCTTTAAACCCAATGGGTTGATTTTTTTTGGCAAATAAAGTATGAGAAATAAAACATGAAATACACGTCACAAGAATACAAAAACATAAATAATTATGTGGATCACCGAAGAGGGCTACATCCACGGGCAAGGCAAACAAAAATCCACTATATCAATGAAAGTTACATCAAAGATTTTGGAACAAATCTCAATAAAAACCCAAGTCGAACAAACCCTTTTAAACCACTCACCCTTCATTCCTTTTATTTTTGGCAACCATTACCAACAACACCAGATAGCGACGCGAGAGCAACGAGAAACTTACATTCTTTCTAATTAAAAGGGGAACAACCCAAATCTCTATGGGAACCGATTCTTTACAAGAAAAAAATAAGCATATCAATATTTAGGAGTTTAAAAGAGCCATCATCACTATGTTTCAGTCCAAATGAAGCTTTTTTTTCTCTAAGAGGAAATTGCATCTATACATATGAGGTTTTAGCTCTCTCTCTTTCTAGAAAACCACCATTCCCATATAGTGACCCAAATAGGGCACACAAAAATTCTCTACACTTTCATCACATATATATAAGATTAGGAATCCATACAAAATAAAAAACACCTTATAAATATCACATATATCTCAAAAGACCAAAAGATATATCCAATAGTCCTAATCCGTTTTGGATTTCTATTTCCCTTAAGAAACTTATCAATATCAATCTCAATCTCATAAAATATGAGAATCAATCCTACCTAATATTGATCAATCTCAATCAATCCCAAAAAATATGGGATTTTCTTATATAGGTGATTTTGGATAGCACCAAATCCAACAATCACCACCTTGATGTCAAAATCATTGCTCACCATGCTAGCATCCGTTGGATAGCTTGATGGTTTCTTAATCTTTTGTCAAATAAATGTATCCATCATTCTTGCTGAAAAATAGTATTTTCTATCAAATTTCTCCACTTCGAACTTTGCATTTGAAACATTTATTGCCTTACCGACAACTGAAAATCGGGCTACTAAGCTGATACCACTTGTTGTGCTCTGATATCACTTGTTTTGTGCAGAAGTTTTAAACCCGATGGGTTGATGTTTTTGGAAAATAAAGTACAAGAATAAAACATGAAACACACACCACAAGAACACAAAGATTTGCGTGGTTCACTTAAGAGGGCTATATTCACGGGCACGGCAAACAAAAATCCACTATACCAATGAAAGTTACATTAAAAATTTTGGAATAAACCTCGACAAAAACCCAAGTCGAGCAAACCCTTTAAAACCACTCTCCATTCCTTCTCTTTACTTTTGGCAACCAATACCAACAACACCAGATAGAGACATGAGAGCAACGAGAAACTTACTTGCTCTCTAACTAAAAGGGGAATAACTCAAAATCTCTATTGGAACCGCTTCTCTACAAGAAACAAATAAGCATCTCAATCTTCGGGAGTCTAAAAGAAGCATCATCACAATATTTCTGTCCGAATGAAGCTTTCTTCTCTCTAAGAGAAAATTGCATCTTATGCACTGAAGGCTCTATCTTCCTCTCTCTCCAGAAGAACCACCATTCTCACATGATGAACCAATTAGGGCACACAAAAATTCTCTGTACTTTCATCACATATATATAAGTTTAGGAATCCATACTAAATAAGAAACTTCCTGTAAATATCACATATATCTCAAAAGACCAAAAGATATATTCAAGAGTCCTAATCCTTTTTGGATTTTTATTTCCCTTAGGAAACTTATCAATATCAATCTTGATCCCACAAAATATGGGAATATCTCAATCCCACATAATATGGGAATATCTCAATCTCATATAATATGAATCAATCTCAATCAATCCCAAAAAATATAGGATTTACTTATGTAGGTGATTTTGGATAGCATCAAATCCAACAATCTTCACCTTGATATCAAAATCACATGCTCACCATGTCAATGTCCATCGGATAGCTTGATGGATTCTTAATCATTTGCCAAATTATTTATACATCATTCTTGCTAAAAAACAGTGTTTGCCATCAAATTTCTCCACCTTTAACTTTGCATTTGAAACTTTTATTGACTTACTAAAAACCCTAAACGGGGCTACCAGGCTCTAATACCACTTGTTGTGCTCTGATACCACTTGTTGTGTGCGAAAGCTCTAAACCCAATTGGTCAATTTTTTTGGCAAATAAAGTACTAGAAATAACGCATGAAATACGCATCACAAGAACACAAAGATTTACGTGGTTCACCCAAAAGGGCTAACATCTACGGGCACGGCAAACATAAATTCACTATACCAATGAAAGTTACATCAAAGATTTTGAAACAATCTTCGACAAAAAGCCAGGTCGAACGAACCATTTTAAATCACTCTCCCTTCCATCTCTTTACTTCTAACAACTATTCCCAACAATACCAAATAGAGACACAAGAGTAACGAGAAACTTACTTTTTCTTTGACTAAAAGGGGGACAATCTAAAATATCTATGGGAGTCGCTTCTCTACAAGAAAGAAATAAGCCTCTCCATATTCGGGAGTCTAAAAGAGTAATCATCGCAATGTTTCAGTCCAAATGAAGCTTTCTTCTCTCTGATATGAAATTGTATCTTATGCACTGGAGGCTCAAGCTCCATCTCTCTCCCGTAGAACCACCATTCTCATATGATGACCCAAATACGGCACATAAAAATTCTCTGCACTTTCATCACAAATATATGAGATTAGGAATCCACACTAAATAAGAAACTTCCTATAGATATCACATATATCTCAAAAAAACAAAAGATATATCCAAGAGTCTTAATCTTTTTTTGGATTTCTATTTTCCCTAGGAAACTTATCAATATCAATCTAAATCCCACAAATTATGGGAATATTTCAATCTCACATAATATGAGAATATCTCAATCCCGCATAATATAGATCAAATCTCAATCAATTCCAGAAAGTATGGGATTTCTTTATGTGGTTAATTTTGGATAGCACCAAATCTAACAATCTTTGCCATAATATCAAAATCACATGGTCACCATGCCAATATCCATTGGAT